TGGACCCTGATTACCTGTGAGAAATCGATTGCGCTAAGGGGCTGGTCATGTTGTCGCATTACTATCCGGTTTGTCCGCAACCGGAACTAGACTTTTGGCTCAAGCAAGCATGCGGACAATGGCTTTCTCACTGTCCTACATGACATGTTGGTGGTCTCCAAGTACTGCATCAAAATCAATGGATCGATGTACCCCCGACTCCCGGTGATCTAGTCATTAACATCGGAGATCTCCTACAGGCAAGTCGATGTTACTCCGACTTTTCATTTAAGCACTCGAATTTGATACCAACCCGTTTTTTCGTTTCAGCTTTTATCGAATGACGATTTACGAGTGTGGATCGTAGAGTGTTGACAAACTCTGTAAGGACTTACGGACTAATTAAGTTGTTATCAGAAGAAAATCCACCAAAATACAGGGAAATCACCATAAGTGAATATGTTGAATATTACCAAGCAAAAGGCCTTGATGGTACCTCTGCTCTGCTTCATTTCAATCTCTAAACACGGCCATGGAGATTATTATAGCGGCAATGCCGACCGATTTAGAGAAGTCTATGAAATTTTCGTAGAGGTGGACACAATAAAATTTCAAGATAAACACTTTTAATAAAATAAACAATTAACATAATGAAATTCGGATTTCGGATTCTAGGTCCTATATACCTCCGCCACTGGGCTTGATTCCCGTTGGCAATGAGGGTCGATATATGATACGTGGTGCAACACAGAGGGTGATGAAACCTTCTAAATTATTTATTTTCGAATTAATTGCATCGTAATTTTAAATTAGTTCTTAAACTATTGAACATTTCAATTTTATCCCTGAACAATGACTATCATTTTAAATTAGTCTTTCCCAAATTAAGATCTTCGTTCTAAATCAGTGCCCAAACTTTTTGAACATATCAATTTAATCCTAAATTATACGTATATACTAATCGCATCCCTTGTTAATAAAATCGTTAGACCAAGTTATACTATTATATGTTTGAACAAGTAAAATTTAGGTTAAACTATGGTTGAAATGTATTACATATTTGGATGAATTTGGAGATAAAATTGAAGATGCAAAAGTTTAGGGTCCAATTTAGAATGTTATTCTTAGTTTGGGGATGAAATTGGAATGTTCAAAAGTTTAAGGACTAATTTAGAATGAGAGTCATAGTTTTAGGATAAAATTGAAATGTTTAAAAGTTTAAACAGTAATGTGAAATAAATATCATAATTTGAAGACATATGATGCAATGAACTCTTTATTTTCTTCGTACGATCCTTTTTGACTTGTCACTTTAAAATTATCAGTTACGAGTCTCTATCTAAATTATAAATAGATCAACCGTCTATTACCGACGCATAACACATTACTATCATCGACAAATATTTGTCTATGGATAAAATTTGGGTTTGTTTGAAGGGATATAATAATGGAGTACACAAAGCAAGTAAGGCAACTGAGTTATTTTCTGTTAAAGTTACTGTCGGAGGCTCTAGGATTGCATCCTGATCACCTGAAAGACATGGGTTGTGCCGACAGCCTCATTATGATGTCGCATTATTATCCGGCGTTTCCGCAGCCTGAACTCACTCTGGGGTTTACCAAGCACTCCGACAGTAACTTCCTCACGGTGATCATACAAGACCATATTAGTGGCCTCCAGGTTCTTCATCAAAACCAACGGGTTGATATCTCCCCGATTCCCGGTGCCCTGGTCATTAACATTGGCGATCTTCTGCAGGTAACCTTACATCTAGTTAAAGACGTTGCAGATGTCGAGGTTCGAATCTACATGAACCGACTCGAATACGTGTCCCGATTACTAATTCGACATTAATTTCATGTGCTTTTTTCCCCAGCTGATATCAAATGATGTGTTTAAAAGCGTGGAGCATAGAGTGGTGTCGAGATCAGTAGGGCCAAGAGCATCAGCGGCCTTCTTTTTCGGCACTTATCACCATTCAAATACAAGAACTTATGGTACCTCTGCCCGCCCACATGTCAAGCTCTAAACACGGTCATGGAGATTAGATTACAGCACCAAGCAATGACCAATACTTTCTATCATTTGGATTTCTTTCTGTAAAATGTTGGTCAATGAAAACTTTGATCCTTGACCAATTAAAATGATTTGATGTTTTCATATATGAGATTATTAGCTATTCAAACTTGGAACTATATAATATAATTTTTTTAAAATAAATGAGACTTTCTCTCTCTCTCTTACTAGTGATACCATTCCGTATTCTCTTAAACTTCAATCAATTTGAGACTTTTACTTAAACCAGAAGGAATGAATCACCTACCATAGGCAAAACACGTCGTTTCTTATAATAAATATTGTCTTAAATCATTACCTCACATGTTATACATTATATAAATAAATTTGGTACAAGGGCACATGAGGCCCTGTACTTTTCCAAAACAATCAACATGTTATATAAGTGGTTGAGATTCAAGAATTTGAGTTTGTAAGACCAAGTTCGAATCCCACCACCGTCGCTCTTGGTGGACAATCTGTAAAGTCCTATGTAAATCCCAATTGGGTCTTAGGTATTCCCTAGCCCTGGACTGAGGGAGCCACCCCTGACCTAAACTTTTATGTACAAAAAAATTAAAGATAAAATGAGTTCTCAACAATTATTTATATTACATTACAAATAATTCTCATCTAATCTTATATTATTTTAATAAAAAAATTATTAATTTATAAATATATTTTTCAATGCCATGGTAGATCAATACCAAAATTTTCTTAAATATATCAAAACTTGCAACTAACTCTAAAATATCCACGCTCTATCATACATCCCAACATTATTACATGTTCCAAAATAATGGCAATAACACCAATAGCGTTGAAGGCAAAATGTTTAAGTGAAAGAATCAAATTTTAATAGGGGCTCAAAATAAATATTGAAGGACTAAAGGGTTTAGCATATATTTGTAGTATTTTAAATTTAAAATATTTATAGTATTTTAAATTTAAAATATTTGTATTTTAAAAAAATCAAATAAGCCGATGTCCTTGAAAAAAAAATTAATTTGACCTTTAAACTTGAAAAAAAAATCAATTTAATTCATCTACCACGTCATTAATTATATCACCAGTCACAGTGAATTAACACATTAACATCGTAAAGTATCACATCAACATTATAACGATCAACGACTGAAATCGTTAATTAAAAGACCACGTTAAATTCTTTTTCCAAGTTTTATCACACAATTATTATTTTACTATTCCCTCAAACTAAAAAAAACCCTAAGTCATTGTAGTTCACAAGCAATTGTTATTTTTAAATTATTTTGTTCAAAATTTTCGTTTTCAATAAGATTTTATAATTAAACCCTATACACACATTTTAATTAAGATTTAAAAAAAATCTTTAATCTTAATTATAAAATATTGTAAGAAAGGGAGGAGCAGATTCCAGAACCAGAGAAAATGGCATCCGAGACCTCAGTTGATTACGACCGAACCAAAGAGTTGAAAGAGTTCGACGACACAAAAGCCGGTGTCAAAGGACTCGTCGACGCCGGAATACTTAACATCCCCAAGATTTTCGTCCGACCGCCGAGGAACTTGCCGCCGATGAACTGAACACCGACCATAAAAACATTGAAGTCCCGATAATAGACTTGAGCGACATCGGAGACGAAAGCCGGCGTAAATAGATGGTAAACGAGGTGAGGGTTGCATCAGAGGAATGGGGTTTCTTCCAAGTGATAAACCATGGGATCCCTTCAAGTGTTTTGGATGAAATGATCGAAGGGATACATTTGTTTAATGAACAAGACTTGGAGCTGAAGAAAGAACTGTATAGCCGTGACAGAGAAAAGAAAGTTAAGTTCAGCTCGAACTTTGATCTTTTCACTTCCAAAACAGCCAATTGGAGGGACACCTGACCCTTCGGACATGCCACAAATCTGCAGGTCACTGACCACTAAAATCTCGTTTTGTTTGCTGATTATGGCGCATTTACATTGATTTTCTCTGGTTTTTGTTTGCAGACGATCAACAATTGAGTATATTAAGCATATGAAAAGATTGGGAGAAACTTTGTTCGAGTTGCTATCGGAGGCTCTCGGTCTTCGACCGGACCACCTGGGCTCGATCAGATGTTGTAAAGGGAGTAGCTTACACTCCCACTACTATCCGCCTTGCCCTCAGCCTGAACTGACATTAGGGGTAAGAAAACATGCTGATCCGGGCATATTGACATTGCTTTTGCAGAACAATATCAGTGGCCTCCAAGTCCTTCATAATGACCAATGGTTCGATGTCCGCCCCACTCGAGGCGGCTTGGTCGTGAACATCGGTGATCTTCTTCAGGTTAGCTTCGAATCGGACAGGCTTTTTCGTTCGACTTTTTTTAATAGAGACTAACATCTTATGTTATCACGGTAGGTTTTATCGAATGATAAGTTCAAGAGTGTGAAGCACAGAGCAATTGCCAATCATGTCGGACCGAGAATTACGGTGCCGTGCTTCTTTTTGGGACATGCTAGCCTGCTTGAGAAGCCATTTGGGCCGATCAAAGAGCTGATATCAGAGGCGAATCCTCCTCGATACAATGAATTCTTGCTGAAGGATTATGTTGCCAAGTTCCTGTCTAGCTCGCTTGATAAAAAGCCTCCTATAGATTACTACAAGCTGTGAAACTAAAACTATCAATTCGTTGTCTGAATGAAACAGTGTAATGTGTTTCAGTTTGCAATAAAACTATCTTCGGTCTGATTCTGAAGAACACTAAATTGGACTCTCATACTCCAAAACAAGAACAAGATAATTTAAAAAAAAACACTCATAAAAGAACTTGATTATCTTTAGTCAGAAGCAACTTGTGCAGCTAATTGCAAGTAAAAAAAAGGGTTTATGTCATTGCTGTTCATAAGTCAACGGCAGTTTTTTATTCTTATGTTCAAGGAAAGTAGTATTTTAGTTCCCAGATGAAATCTGAGCATGATCCATTGATCATTTCCAAGAAAGAGATGAAAAAATGTCATCCAAAACATCCATTGATTCCAACAGAACCAAAGAGTTGAAAGAGTTCGACGACACAAAAGCCGGTGTAAAAGGATTCGTCGACGCCGGAATACTCAACATCACCAAGATCTTCAGTCGACCAGCCGAGGACCTTGCCGCCGACGAATCGAATTCCAGCCAGAAAACCGATATCGAAGTCCCGATCATAGATTTAAGCGGCATCAGAGACGAAAACTGGCTTAAGGAGATCGTAAACGAGGTGAGGGTTGCATCAGAGGAATGGGGTTTCTTCCAAGTTATAAACCATGGGATCCCTACAAGTGTTTTGGATGACATGATTGAAGGGATACGTTTGTTTAATGAACAAGACTTGGAGTTGAAGAAAGAGGTGTATAGCCGTGACAGAGCAAAGAAGGTTAAATTCAACACTAATTTTGATCTGTTTGCTTCGAAAACAGCTGATTGGAGGGGCACTTTGACCCTTTCTTTCCTTGATTCTGATCCTGACCCTTCAGCTATGCCACAAGTCTGCAGGTAACTGAGCACTAAAATCCAATTTTTGCTGCTGATTTTGGTGCAATTTACATTGATTTTTTAAAAATTTGCAGAGGATCAACAGTTGAATATATTAAGCATACGAAAAGATTGGCAGAAACTTTATTCCAGCTTCTCTCGGAGGCTCTCGGTCTTCAACTGGACCGCCTTAGTTCGATCGGATGTTGTAAACGGCATAGCTTACACGCTCATTACTATCCGCTTTGCCCTCAGCCTGAACTCACTTTAGGTGTGAAGAAACATGCAGATGGTAGCATATTGACATTGCTTCTGCAGAACCATATAAGCGGTCTCCAAGTCTTACACGATGACCAATGGTTTGATGTCCGTCCCACTCGAGGTGGCTTGGTAATAATCATCGGAGATCTTCTTCAGGTTAGCATGAAACCACATCTGTCTTCCATTGAATTCTTTCGTCTCGAAATGCCACCGATCATGTTTATCCTGTTATGGTTAGATACTGTCAAATGATAAATTCAAGAGTGTGAAGGATAGAGCAATAGCCAATCGTGTCGGACTGAGAATTATGGTGCCGTGCTTCTTCTCCGGATACGATAGCTTGCTTGACAAGTCATTCGGGCCGATCGAAGAGCTGATCTCGGAGGCGAATCCTCCGAGATACAAAGAATTCTTGCTGAGGGATTATATTGCCAAATTTTTATCTAGCTCACTTGACAACAAGGCTTCTATAGATTACTACAAGCTGCGATTTGATTGAAACTAAAATGAAAATTTGGTGCCCAATTGATAAAGGAATTTATTCAGCACTTCAAATAGAACCAATCACATAATTTAGTGACTAAGAAGATAATTTATCCTAAATTAAATGAAAATGTGGAAAGAAAAAAAACTTTATTTTAAAGAGGAAAAAGGGTAAAATAGGACATTGACTTCTCATGCACTCTGCCCCCTACTTTAATTAAATGTTTCAAAGTCACATGCAAATAGTTTTAAACACGTCGAAATAAAAAAGAATTATAAATGTTAAATTTTGAAATTCATAAGATAAAAATTAATTAAAGAGAACTACATTATTAATTTAAATATTTAATTAGCTATTTTTATGTAAATTAAAAAGTTATTATCCTTCTTGAGTTAGGGGGAAAAATTAAAAAACTAAAATGAACTCATTCATAAGGCTAGGGGTTATGATAAAAGGAGGGATATTACCGATAAATATTAAATTTATAAGTCCGTTTTCAATCATAAGATTAAACGAGCACACGAATCAATCGACTCATTATTCTCCTTAGAGATCATGGGTTTAGCACCGACAAGATATGAACAATCATTGTCAATGGGATAAAAGTCTTAAAATAGATATTGTCTTGCATTTACTTGATTTGTGATTAAAAAGAAGGGTAAATTATACGTTTATTACCTAAATTATTAGTTTTGGTCTATTTTAGTGCTTAAATTTTTTTATTTTTTTTCAGAGCTTAACGTTAAAATGAAACAATTTTAGGAAGAACAATAATTTCTTTAACCCTGAGATAAGTTGGTTCGTGACTTTCAATAAGAGAACTTAAATTCAGATCTTAAAAATAATATTAATGAAAGACATTGAATAGAACTCCAATATTTTCCAACATAGCTTTGAAATTGTGGTGATAATCACGTTCTGCCGGATTCACATTATTTTTCAATTACTCCAATATTTAATGATGTAGTTCAACCAATATTTACTTGCAATTCACTATACATATAGAAAGTAACTACGTGGTTCTTAGGCATCCAAGTCTTTGAGCAACTCCCATTGTTCATAAGAAAAGAAAGAGCAATCCAATTAGCAGAGAATGACATCCCAAACCAAAATTGATCTCGACCGAACCAAAGTGATGAAGGAATTCGACACAAAAGCCGGTGTTAAGGGACTCGTCGACGCCGGAATACTTAACATCCCCGAGATTTTCGTTCGACCAGCGGAGGACCTTGCCACCGAGGGACTGAATTCCGGCAGGAGAAACATCGATGTTCCGATCATTGATCTAAGCAATATCGGAGACGGTAACCTGCATAGGTCGATCGTGAACGAGGTGAGGATTGCATCAGGGGAATGGGGTTTCTTCCAAGTGATAAACCATGGGATCCCGTTAAGTGTTTTGGATGAAATGATCGAAGGGATACGTTTGTTTAATGAGCAAGACTTGGAGTTAAAAAAGGAAATGCATGGCCATGAAGGTGCAAAACATGTTCAATTCACCTCTTTTGATCTTCATAATTCACAAACTGCTGATTGGAGAGACACATTGACATTGAGGCTTGCACACCTCGAATCCGATCCCGATCCTTCGGAATTGCCGTCGGTCTGCAGACGATCTACGATCGAGTTTATTAAGCATATGAAAAGATTGGCGGAGACTTTGTTCAAGTTGCTATCGGAGGCCCTCGGTCTCCGACCGGATCACCTTGGTTCGATCGGATGCTGTAAAGGGTGTAGCATAGTGTCCCATTACTATCCACCTTGCCCTCAGCCTGAACTCGCTTTGGGGATAAGGAAACATTCAGATGCAGGCATACTGACCCTGCTTCTGCAGAACCATATCGGCGGGCTCCAAGTCCTTCGTGACGATCAGTGGTTTGACGTTCACCCCGTTCGAGGCGGCTTGGTCGTAAACATCGGCGACCTTCTTCAGGTTAGGCTCAAATCACAACACCTGATTTCCATTCCACTCTCGCAATATTAACTCTTTCTGTTGTTATGGTAGATTTTATCAAATGATGAGTTCAGGAGTGTGAAACATAGAGTGACTGCCAACCACGTCGGACCGAGAATCTCGGCGGCGTGCTTTTTCTCGGGCGATGCCAGCCTGCTCGACGAGACATTCGGACCAATCAAAGAGCTGATATCGGAGACGAATCATCCTCGGTACAAAGAGTTATTGCTGAAGGAATATCTTGCCAAGGCTGTATCCAACCCACTTGGTGACAAGCCTCCTATGGATTACTACAAGCTGTGAAGCTAAAACTATCAAAATTAAGGCAAATGTGTTGAGGATAAACCCTAAAGCATTTCAGCGTTTGTGCCGAACTGAATAAAACAGAGTGTCCTGTTTTAATTTGTAATAGAAGGATGTTAAACTATAATATGAATAAAGACAGACATGTTACTTGTCCATCGGTAATTTTAGAATTGAAATTTCACTCCAAATCCATATTATGATGAAACATTATTCGAGCGCTAAGGATGTTGATAGAGTCAACTCGGATGTGGATTGTGCTCGATGGATAGCCCCTATCGCGGGGGTGATTAAGATAAATACCGACGACGCCTATGATGGATCTCAAGGAATAGCAGCTGTTGGTGTTATAGCCCGTGATCAAAGTGGCCAAGTGTTTGGTGGACTTGCTCAACCATCTGTTGGTTGCTTTGAAGCTGGGTTTGCAGAGCTCCGTGCATTGCTTGCTGGATTGAGATTCGCTTGTGATATGGGATGGACGACAGCTCAATTTGAAACTGACTCCTTGACACTTGTTCACAAGATTACAAGAGATTATGATGATATTTCAACTCTTGGTGTTTTTGTGCAGGAAGCACGGACGATTTTCTGGAACCATTCTCAATTTCATATTACTTATGCTAGTCGTTCTTGTATTCATGTTGTTCATCAGTTAGCTAATTGGGTTATTAAAACTGGTGGCTCTTTTTGTTCTTTGATTCGGTTTGTCCCGATATCATTGCTTATGACATTCAAAACGATGTACTTGATATTTTTTATTTATGGTAATTGAGCACTCTTTTCCCCTTATTGGGTGTAGAAGGGTTTTTAACTAGACTCATTCATGGTTTCGGCTAAAAAAAAACTATAATTAAATTACATAAATTATATTTGTGATCATTTAATTATGAAAAGGTTCTAATTTGACCACTTATCTTTTCATTTTATTCATCAACTATTTAAAAGATATCATCCAAGACACGTACCGACAATATTTAATGAAAAAATTGACGTTGATCAACTTTTTTGTTAATCACGTAATGGTTAACAAAATCGGTATAATTACATGAATGGTCTGTCACTAGAAATGTGGCTTCAAGGCATTGGAGGCCCTCAAATTTTCAAAAAAAAAAAATCAATATGGTGCCTATCATTTTTTTATGATCATTGTGGCCCTACATTTAGAAAAAAAAAAAATTTAACCCTTTGACCAACGTTTTTCGTTATTGACCAACGTCGCCGTTAAATCCTGTTGACATGACACAATTTATGTCCTTTTAATGCTTAAAAAAAGAAAAATGTTAAATTTGAAACCCATCATTGGTGACCGCCGACGGTGGCGGTCATCGCAAACAAAGGAGCAAGGTCGGACCGTTTTGGTCCCCCGAAGTCGAATCTATCATCTGTTTTTTCAAAAATCGTCCCGATAGTCGTAAATATACGAAAATAGTCTTCAGCTGCTACGGGTTTCATCTCTTTGATCCCCGTCTTTCGCCGTTGGATGCAGTCGCCTCCACAATGTGTTGGTTGCGTCGTCTTGGGTAACATCTTCACCGTTTGGATTTACCAACGGCCGTCAGGAACGTCGCAAATCGAAACGCAAATATTCATCGGCAGTGCGAATTTTAATCCATGTATTATTTATACTACTTAACTTTTAAGACTAAATATATTTAAGGGTAAACTAAATCATTTACTATTTAATTTTAATCCGTGTATTATTTATACTACTTAACTTTTAATTGCACTACTTATGATATTGAACTTTGGTTTTAACTTCAGTTCTATTAGTGGGCTGTTAAAATTTAAATGACATGATACATCAAGAAATCGATCTCATTTTTATATGGTTTATGATGTCTCAAAATGATGTCATTTTGGACACTAAATTTTATGGATGTGTCGAACTGACCACTAAACTTTTAAACGATTAGTTTTTAGGCATTATACTTTTTTCGACCGTTATTAACAATGAAGTGTAGCCCTTATCAGTCGTCATTCGTGACAAGGTAGTATAAAAGTATTTTATTCTTCTTTCATATCCTATGGTTGATTTTCCACGGAACTCATTCAAAATCAATGGTCAAATTACAGTGTGTGAATTAAATACATGATACAAGGACTTATTGAAGAATTTGACCAGAAAAGTTGGTTCAGACTTTCGGTGTCTCGATTGTTTTTATATATATATAATGAACAGCAGGTATGGGGGAATTTAAAATTTGAGCTGGGGGGGGGGGGGGGGGGAACTAAAATCAATTCGATTGGCCCACTGCCCTCAATGCTAGAGTTTGACATCAAACGTATGTGTTACGGTTGGGGACCAAGACCATGACTTGTATGTGTTTTGATTAAATTTAGGGTAAAATACATAAATGATCCCGACTATAGAAAATTGTTTTGTTGAGTTTATTGACTATTAAAATTTATAAAATAATCATTCGACTATTCATTATGTTTCAAACTCGTCATTTTCCATTAAAAAATTGTCACCTGAGCTGGGCTTTAACATGATAATCATTTAAGTTTATGATATCATATCAAAGCCAGCAGGTTAACGTACATCTCAGACTGTCATCAAAATTTTAATCAAAAAGGACGAGTTTTGAACATAATGAATGATCGGATGACCGTTTTGTAACTTCTAATAGTCAAGGGACTCAACAAAGCAACTCACTATAGTAAGAGGATCATTTCATATCTTTTAATAATCAGATGACTTAATGAAATAATATACTATAGTCAGTTGATCATTTATGTACTTTATCCTTAAATTCATTAAGTGTTTTAGCGGTAAAATAAAAATATTTTTTAAGAAAATTTAAGTTTGATATTTCAACACAAGTACCCAGCTGGTCAAATATGATATATATAAATGTACTAAACATATACATTATTAATATTTCAAAATTCATATAATAATATATCTTTAATATAAGTCAATAGGCATTAATTTTTGGTTGAATATTCATTAACATCAATTGATTTTAGTAGTTAAAAAAGTCATTTTTTTATAAATTTTAATTAAATATTACTTTATAATCTCTTAAATTATTAAAAAAAATTACGATAAAAGTAAGTTGTTATTTGATACAACGTCATTTATTTATTTTACGATAAAATCAATTAGTAATATATTATTATGGTACAGGGTTCGGGGAATAGTTTATTTCGTAGTCAAACACGTAAAACTATGATCCACAACTTCTACTTAGAGTTAGAGGGAACAGATCCGACAATCTACCTCTGTATTTGCGTGTTGACAAACCATACAACGTGTGTAAGCTGCCACAGGTAAGAAAAATAGTCCACATGCTTTCCCCTTTAGTCAAAGATGGTCTACCCCATCACAATAGTGGCCCTAATGTATCAATAAAATCAAGAATCAAGTATATAAATAGTCTCGATTATAGGACGTTATTTTGTTAAATTTTTTTTACTATTATAAAATAATCATTCGACCCTAACTTATTATTTTATTGAATCTTTTGACCATTAAAAGTTATAATATATCTACTTTACTATTTATATGTTCAAATCTCGTCCTTTTCGTTAAAAAAATATCGTTTGAATTAGACTTTAATCTGTTGACTCAGGTATAATAAATTCGTATTTTAATTATATTTACTAACACCGTTGTTGTTTTCAAGCACTAGCTCGATAACATAATGTTTCAAGTATTGGTTGGTCGACATAATGTAAATAGAGAGTCGATTCATAAAGTACAACTGAAACGGTTATATCTTAGTCAACACACTAACATTCAACTCGAATGATCGTCAATCTTTTAATAGAAAATGACGAGTTTGAAACATAAAAAAAGTTAAATGACTGTTTTATAACTTTTAATAATAAGACGACTCAACAAAATAACACCTATAATCGAAAAACCATTTTTAAATTTTTAATAGTAAAGAGACTCAACAAAAAGTACTATAATCATAGGACCATTTGTATACTTTATTTTAAAATTTAAAAACAATTTGTTCACATCACCTATTTACATTAAATTTTAGGATTTATTAGAATTTATGGTTTAATATTTAAATTTTAGATATTAATTTTTTGGGTAAAGTATAAAAATGGTCTCCTAACTATAGGATACTATTTTATTAAGTCCTTTAAGTATTAAAAATTACAAAATAGTCTTCTAACGATAGGGAGTTGCTTTGTTTAGTTCATTGACTATTAAAAGTTACAAAATGGTCACCCGACTATTTATCATGTTCCAAACTCGTCATTTTCCGTTAAAATTTTGACGACAATCTGAGTTGTACGTTAATTTGTTAATTGGGATATGATAAAATATGACATCATAATCTTAAACGACTATCATATCTCATTCAACATGTTAACGTTCAGTTCAGACGACCGTTAATTTTTAATGAAAAAAGACGAGTTTATAACATAATGAATAATCGAGTGACTCGTAAAACTATAAAGAACGCTGTTTAAATAATTTATTTTTGTCAAATTTTCTTCATTCTCTATTGTTGCTGAAAAGCAAAGTGCAATGTTCCTCTGCCAAATTGTTCAAGTAAAGTTTTTATGATTCCACATTTATATGTATTTATTTACATATAAATTATTGGGTAAAGTATTCAATGGTCACTTAATTATAGGATATTACTTTATTGAGTCATTTGACTATTAAAAGTTACAAAATGATCCCTCAACTAAAGGGAGTTGCTTTATTGAGTCATTCGACTATTAAAAGTTACAAAATGCTCACTTGACTATCCATTATGTTCCAAACTCGTCATTTTAAGTTAAAAAATTAACGATCATCTGAGTTGAACGTTAATATGTTGACTGAGATACGATATTTGTTTAAGATTATGAGATCAGATTTTATCATATCTCGGTTAGCAGGTTAATGTATAGCTTATACTGTCGTCAAATTTTTAACGAAAAATGATGAGTTTGGAACATAATGAATAGTTGGGTGACCAGTTTGTAACTTTTAATAGTCAAGGGATTAAACAAAGCAACTCCCTATAGCCGGAGGACTATTTTGTAACTGTTAATATTTTGAGGATTTAATGAAGTAATATCTTATAATCAAGGGACCATTTATGTAATTGTCCCTAAATTATTTCACAATTGTCCTTTTTTTTTTTACTTCCAGCATTGCTACGCCACAGTTACCTCAGCTTTTCATTCAACGTTATAATCTCTA